CTATCCAAAACAGGTAGACTTTAAAGTAATTTATCAAAACTGGAGCAGACAAAAGCTGGAGCAGCTGTGCATGGCAACCAATCAGCTTCTCCCTTCAGTTTGTTCAGTTAAGATTTGAAAATGAAAGGTAGAAGCTGATTGGTTGCCATGCACAGCTGCTCCAGTTTTTGTCTGCTCCAGTTTTGGTTAATTCCCTTCTCTCTGTTTTCTTCAGGGTTTTCGTTAATTTGCATTGTCTAACCTTATTTGCATTCACTAGGCATACCAGACACTATAGAATTCTTGGATATAATTTCACAATCATTGGCTCATCAATTATTGCAAGCCAGGACATGTGTGATGGAGGAAAAAAATGACCCATTTGATCACTATTTGGGGTTGGATGTAAATGGACATGCGTCAGCCTATATCTGCACATATCCAGTCAGGTCCACAAAAGCAGACCTGGACACAAGCTTATTGCATTTGGTCCAACAGACCTGAATGGCCCCAATGTAAGCGAATGTACACAGACACACAACTGCTTATATCCGGCCACCCATAGGAATACATTGCAGTCTATTTTTAATCCATCTAATCATGAGTCAAAAATGACTAAAGGAATCCTGTGTGAATAGTGCCTTAAGGCCTGGGAATTATCAGCCTGGATCTATAGCACTCCCTCAGGCCCCACTTGAGCCTGAGTGGGCTGCTTGTAATGGAGAAGTTACACAACTTTGAAAGGTAAGGAACTGAAGGGTCTGTATTGCTCAGCTCTCCTCACAACAGCCCCTGACAGCGTCATTCCACATCTATCACCTCCAGTGTTTCCATCTCCCATCTCCTCTCCTGAGCCTGGCTGAGGGGAACCTGGATCTGGCTGTATTCAGCCCACAGGTACTAATCCCAGAAATGAGAACACAGGATTCTTTCTGGAGTCACTGGGCAGACCATGCTCTACAACAGGGGTGCCCACAATTTTTTGTGTTGGGATCTACTTTTCAAATGACGAGCTACATGAGATCTACCAACGAAAAAGAAAAACCTTCCTCGCTCTCTCTTTCTCCTGGCTGCCTCTCCTCGCTTTCCTGGCTGTCTCTCCTTGCTCATCCTCCTCGCTGTCTCTCCTGGCTATCATTCCTCATTTTCTCTCCTGGCTCTCTCTTCGCTCTCTTGGCTGTCTCTGCTTGCTCTCTCCCCTGGCTGTCTCTCCTCTCTCTCTTTCCTGGCTGTCTCTCCTCTCTCTCTTTCCTGGCTGTCTCTCCTCTCTCTCTCTTTCCTGGCTGTCTCTCCTCTCTCTCTCTTTCCTGGCTGTCTCTCCTCTCTCTCTCCTGGCTCACCTTGCTGTATTTTGCAAACAGTGCAGTGCAACAGGTTGTGTAAAGTAATATTCTTTGATGTAATACATAGCACTTCAACCACCAATATCCACCAGAAAGGTGTCAGGGAGCTGGGCTCAGCAGGCTCAGGCTAATAGGTAATCATGTGTGCACAGCTAAATAAATATACCAAAATGGAATATAGGGGCCACCATTCACAACCTTCATGATCTACCAGGATCAGCTTTGAGAGCTACTGGTAGATCACGATCTACCTAATGGGCACCCCTGCTCTACAATAATGTAATTGCCTCTGTTCAGGCCCCTCACATCATCACTGAAAACACAAACTACATTTCCTTAGAACACATTTAATAGCACTGGCTCTTTTATAACACTCTCTCCTGTACAAATATGCTGAGAGCTCAGTGGCACTCACTGATGTCTATTTGCACTTTATTTGTCACAATGGATCTCATGTTTCATGAGGCTCCAGTGCTGAATACACAGTCTGCAGATTAAGAATCATTATTCAATAACACATTGAACGCCAGAAAACCTAAACATGTATTTACAGCTATTCGCTAGAGGAGAAATGTCACATTTGTAATGTACCCTACTTAAATCCAATTGTGCCTAATAATAATAATAATAATAACTTGTCTCACCTTTCTTGTTTTACAGCAGTCATCTTTCATCTATTGTACTGTTTATTACCCCTGAATGTATTTTCTTAAAGGAGAACTATGAGGGGAGTGCTTTTCACTCACCTCATAGTTCTAGCCGACCTGTGACAATGAGACTGTCACAGGTCGGCTCAGTAGATCGGGAGGTGAGGGAACACATACCGGGTTCGCTCGCCTCTCGATCCTGTCACGGCTCTCTGCCGTGACAGGGGGAGGGGCTGGATTCCCCTCTCCCCGCTCCGATCTGCCAGCGCTGACTGGCGGAACGGACGGGGGAGGGGGCGGGTACAGCTGGCTCTGCCTCTAGATAGGCAGAGCCAGCTGTCACTCACGCAGCTGGGCGGATCCCGTCATCTAAGTCGGGATCCGCTCCGGCGTCTCAGTATACCTCGAGCTGTAGCTCGCGGTATACTGAGCTTAGGGTAACGGGAGGACACTAGTTTGTGTCCTCCCGTTACCCTAAGGAGAACTATGGGGAAAAACACTGACCCCATAGTTCTCCTTTAAGGCTCTCAACTAGCTTTAGGTCCCAAGTGCTACATAGGCTGTGTGAAAGCACTATGCTTGCTTTGTATTATCACAGCCTCATACAAAATGATATATAGTTCGCAGCACTTATGCACACTCCACATTGCTCCTGGAGGGCAGGGACTGATGCAAATGAATAATATGTAAAATATTGCATAAATTGACAGCGCTGTATAAATAACTACCTGATAGAAAAATTCAGGTCCCCCTCTGCTGATTGACAGCAGCAGTGGGCGTTTGCATTAGTTAGTTTGCTATTGGCTATTGCCAAGTGCAATAGCCAATAGGAATCTAGCTATGCAATCGTATGCCTTTTTTTTTCTTTACTGACTGACGGTCGGGCCGTGGCTCCCGATGTCAGAAAAGAAAAAAAAAACGATCGCAGGGAAAGGTTTAATCTGCTTGATAGAGCAGATTAAACCTTTCCGGGAGAAAATGTTTCTCTCCCGGGCGGCCGGGAGCCGCTATCTAATAGCGGGAGACTCCCGGAGCTTCCGGGAGAGTTGAGATGTCTGCGGTAATATATAAAAAAGTAGGACTAAAGTCCACAAATACATCTGCTCCCACACCAACATCTTCTTATGGGTGCAGGGATAGGTGCACTAGATTGCATAGCTCATGTCCTTGGGGTTAAAAAAAAAACTTTCTGCAATGTTTTGTTTTAAGGCCGCAGTTCAGCTTTAAAGTAACACTGACATTACAGCAAAAAGGTTATATAAACTTTGCCTGCAAAATAAAATTTATTACTTAAATAGTAATGAGTTAAGTTTAGGTTCGGACCTAACCCTGTCCAAACCTGAGCTCCTCTGAATCTGAAGGAGGTCCTCCCAAACATGAAAGGAAGTTCCGTCCACGTCGCCCTATCAGCTGCAGGCGGGTGATGTCACTGACCTTATATCTCTACATGCCAATATTTACTAAATAGATACGTGGCCTTATAAGGTAAATTACATCAGCACAAGCATCACACCCTTTGTTTACATGCAGCTGCAGGCCAGGGAATGTCTGGCCGGCGGCTAATTAATTGGAAGTGCTCCTCTTTTCTTTCTGGTTGTTACTGAGACAGAAAGTGGGAGGAAATCCATTCATTTAGCGTTATCATGAGAACAACATGTGAAGGTAAATCTTCCAGTGGGGACAATCTGTCTAAGAGAGGAATTCATCTAAGTTTGCAGAGATTTCCTTGAACTCTCTGTTGGGTCTCCAGGACAGGAAGCGAATCTAACTAGCAGGAGACAGACAGTAAAAAATAACCTCATTTTTAATCCTTCTCTATTCAATCCAAGACTAAAACAAAGGTTTTGGCTTTACATACACTTTTTAATACCTACCTCTCCAGTAAGTGGTGACTTGGATCTTCATACAAAAGCGCTCAATGCCTGATAATGTCAGCACCCGAGCAAGGTATACTCAACAATTCCTACTCTTGCCCTCACCACCTCTACACTGCAGGGTTCAACCCTATGTAAGCTCCTGTGTGGGATGGTGTCAAAGCTCACTCCCCCCACATGACAGAGTTTGGTTCTGGGCACTGGGCACTCAGGCTGTCACATGGGTAAGGTCAAATGATCACCCATACCCAGGAGACCCACTCAGTTAGAGCAACAAAGCAAGGTCTCCAGTGGAGTGGGTAGGTTGCTAGGAAACCCAGATGAGTAAGTATATGTTGCTGGGGGTAGCTATTCAATCCCAACTCCAGGGAAATTTACAAAAACTATAATATGAAAATAAACATGAAAGTAACCTCCTATAATCTGCCCATTTAAAGCAAAGTGGCAGTGCCTCTTAAAGTCCAACTGACAGTCCACAGCCAGAGTGAAGGGGGAGAAGAGCGAGAGCAACAACTTCCGGGTGTCTGGGGATAAGGTAAGTAAAAGTGCTTTACTCTGGTCCCCTAGGCATAAAGGAGCATTTAACCCTTCTAGTGTGAGGGCAGCCCCACTGCAAAGGAAAACATTTAATTTCCTTGAAGATAGCTTTTTAAGAGGTACTGTCACTTTGCTTTAAATAGGCAGATTTAACAAAACTGCTTTTCTGTCAAACTTTTATATAATTGATTTTGTAAATGGTAAATATCGTTTTAAATGCTACCGGAAGATAGCCAAATCAGTCCCTAGAAAAAGTAGAAATACACAAATATATTATATAAATATATACAATATACATAATAAAGAAAAATTATTATTATTATTTATATATATATATATATATATATATAGCTACATACATACACACTGCAAAATGTCAAATTTTGTTGCAATTGTAAAACTGTGTAATGGCCCTGATTACGTGGGGTTACGAAGGGCTTACAGGACCAGTAATGCTGTTGTACTAAGTACACATATGTACAACTTTTAGGTACAGAAATTTGTTTTGTGGTGCTGAATTGTGAAACTGCGCTGTCATCTTGAAACAGGTGCAGCAATTCTCACAGCAGCTACCAGGTTTCAAGATACTGTTTCTGATTCTCTCATACTGCTTTCCACAGAAATTTTAATGCATAGAGCCAGAAGGGCTTCAGTCAGTTTCGCTCCTGCTTCTACTGCAAAATGAAGACGAAGACAAGAGCAGCAAGACGAAGGCTGGAGATTGAACTGGAAGATGAGGATGAAAGTGTGTCACAGCAGACGTCAAGTGAGGATGATAATGATAAGTGTTTTGTGTATAAAGAGAGGAGTAAAGGGAAGAGTCAGGAGTCCGGGAAGAGCACGAGGAAAAGAAGGCAGATGTCACAAGGGAAGGAACATAGTGTCCGAAGACTGGAGAGCAATGAACGGGAAAGACAAAGGATGCATAAACTGAACAATGCATTTCAAGCACTTAGAGAGGTCATTCCACACGTCAGAGCAGAAAAGAAACTCTCCAAAATTGAGACGCTGACTTTAGCTAAAAATTACATCAACACATTAACTTCTACCATACTGAACATGTCCAATGGATGCTTGCCCACTGTTCAGGACACTGGCTCTGGCCGCAATGGCAGTAAGTTTTACAAGCATTACCAGAAACAACACGGAGAGGAGGACAATGATGAACACTTAGAAAAATACTCCACACAAATTCACAGCTTTAGGCAGGGCAGTTGATAAATCCGGTATATTTTTTTTTACTTTCATACTAGGCACATTCTCAGAAATACGATATATTCAAAATAACATTTTGCTACTACAGTGTACCAATTATATAGATATATTGCTTGTCCACCCACCAGCACTTTACACAGCCGTTCAAGAAATCAGTTCAGGTTTTCATTCCGGATAATTGAAGTTAAATATGATTTTATTTTGGGGATACTTACGTAAGACATAGGTGTAGATTATGGTATTGTGGCAGGGGAAATTTAATATTTAGACTTTTTAGGTAGGGTAGGGTGGTTGGTAATTCTGTAATATATGTGTATTTGAAAAATATATGTAAAAACTGATGAGTTCAATGGCAAACAGTCACAAAATCAATGTTTAAAAAAAAATAGATGTAGCATCTGATTTGCAAAATAAAAAAAAATCAATTTTTTTTTACCTTATGTCAACTAATAGTTACTTGATCGCTACTCCGAATATTTAAAGTAAAATTCAATAAAAATAAAGGCGCCTTGGGTAACAGGTCATCATCACTGTTTGCACTGGCCTATGAAACATGTCCAGTTGATGTAAATAAGTTTTAGACATTAAGTATCAGAGATGTAATAGTGTCATGTATGGTGATCTTGATGCTGTAGAAGTTCATAATATGGCAAGTAAGGCAGCTGTTACATTAAGTGGATTATTTGTGCATCGGACAACCATCAATAACATCACAATGCTCTAACCAGTGTATTATTGGTGAATCCAAAAAAGCACCAAAGAAATCACAATGCTCTAATGAGCGCAATAATAGTGAATCCAAATAAGCACCAAAGAAATCACAATGCTCTAATGAGCTCATTAATAGTGAATTTAAACAAACCTCAAAGACATCACAATTGTGTAATGAGTGTGTTAATAGTAATCCTAGAAGCACAATGGACAATGCAGAAATTAGTACATTTTACAATCACTAGAGACCTCTCAATGAATTTGTGAATTATTAGTAAAGACAACATCAGAATACTAAGCTCAATGCATTAACTGGGCACCTGACAATCACCAGCAACATCACAATACTGCATTGAGCGTATTAAAGGTGAATCTGACAAGCAATGAAACATCACAATCATGTACACAGTGCATTAATAGTGCCCCTGGTGATTACCTTAGACATCACAATGCTATACTCAGTGTACTTATAATAGATATGACAATCAGCAGAGACACCACAATGCTGTACTCAGTGTATTAATAGTAAATATGACAATAATCATGAACAACACAATGCTGTATCAAGGGTAATGATGGTGAACAAAACAAACATTGAAACAGCACAATGCTTTACTCAGTGTACTAATAATAAATATGAAAATCACCAGAGACATCACAATGCTGCATTGAGGGTATTAATAGTGAATATAGCAAGCACCAAAGCATTACACTTCAAAATGTATTTTTTATTGAGCCTGCAAAATGTACGTACACTGTACGTCGTCAGTCACGAAGGGGTTAATACAAGATATAGCAGAATTAGATTTTCATTTTATTACTATTGGGCTTTAAGAAAGGGCAGTCATCTAAATATTAATATATTAAGAAACAAAAAGGTATTTTTTTAGACTAACTATGCATTTTTAATGTCTATATTCAACTTATGTTGTAGATGGGTTTAGCTGGGAATTGTTACCAAATACTTTTGTGCCTGGGAAAATAAGTTTATTGGGAACTTTGCTGCCGTATAGTAAAGGGAATTATAGGCAACGGATTGCAGTTATTCCTTAGAAATGGTCTGAACCTAATAAGCTTATTAATATGCCTGGCACATTATCTGCACATACTAATTCCATACAAATAAAATAAATGGTAAATGAGGTGCTCAATTTTTCCTTACAGGGAAATGCTGTCTGCATGGGATTGGCTGAAAACTTCCAATGTAACTGAGAATTTATTGTTTATTTGCTCAAATAAATAAACAATATTTGGACCTTCTAAAGACCCTCCTTTGGCAGGACAGACCTTATCCTTTCACCAAAAGAGGAAGGACATGTTGACAATTGATGCAGTTTAACTGAACTATGGGCAGAATTTGGTCAAGATTGCATGGCCCTTACAGTGTCCTGACTTGACCATGCATGATGGGACGTAGTTGCTGCATGACAGTTCCTTGCTTCGAATGAAGATATCTGTGTGTGACCACCTTAAATGATACAAAGTTCACAGTTTATCCTAATACATTGTGTACAAATACAATGGCAAGGAGCTTCAGTCATTGAAAATGCTGAATTTACTAAGGCAACCCTATGGGCTTCGTGTAGATTGTTTGTATTTTGTTTAAAAACTCTTTCCTGTGGATATATGTATGTAATTTGTGTAGTTTGTGATAAAGTGACTTATAAGTGATGAAACTAAGGTTAGTAGGGGGATCTGTCTGAATAATGTACTTTTATCTGGCAGTCCTTTTGCTAAAGGAGCCAATATAGCGCTGAAGACATCATAGTCAGAAGCCTGCAAAATGTAAACCATTAATAATGATTTCAGTTCTGGACATTGTACCTTGCAAATCAATCATTAATCGTGTATCAATTAACTCATGGCCTCTGTAAATCCATTCAATCATAACCATACATTTAACAGAATTATTTGTGGTGATAACAGTTTTCACTACAATCAGCTTTGGTGTTTTCAGAGAAAGGTGTTAACGCTACAGCATATGAAGACATGTTATACAATCTAGTTCTTCCAACATTGTGACAACAGTCTGGGGAAGGCATTTTGTAATGTGCCATGACTGTACCCCGTGCACAAAGCCATTTCCATAAGGAAATGGTTTGAGGAGTTTGGTGTGAAGGCCCTCATGTGCCCTGCACAGAGCCCCGTTCTCAACCGTATTGAACACAATTGAGATAAACTGGAACGGCGATCGTGAACCAGTTCTTCTCATCCAGTATCAGCACTTGACCTCAAAATTCTCTCTTTGCTGAGTGGGCACAAATTGCCTCAGACACTCTCCAAAATCTTTCTGGAAGAGTGGAGGTTGTGACAGCCACAAAAGCGAGAGGAGTCTATATAAATGGCCATGGTTTTGGAATTGGTTGTCTAACTTTGCGGCTATACCAGTTTCCGCTTTTCTGGGAAGACTTTCCATGAGATTTTGGAGTGTGTCTTTGGGCATGTGTGCCTATTCAACCAGAAGGGCATTTGTGAGTTACTGGTGTTGGATGAGAAGATCTGGCTTGCTAAATTATGTTCCAATTAATCCAAAGGGTTTTTTTTAGGGTTGGGGTCATGGCTTAGTATGTCAGAATTAGTAGTTCTCACACCTCAAATTCTTACATACATCTTTTGGAGTATTTACCACTTATCAGGGTGGTTACATTATAAAAGGTTCTATCTCTTTAAACCCCAAAGACCATATGATGCCCTTTTAACGTTGTGGCAGCTGTTTGGCCAAGGTGAAGCAATATTTTTTTATATTTTATAATGTTTAACCCCTTTGTGACAGGAGACTAACACTGTACGTCCTGCCACGAAGTGCCCAAATGACTCACACGTACACTGTATGTGATAAGCTATTTGGGGTTCTGCAAGGCTGGTAACCACTGCGAATGAGCGGTTTCCTTTATTAACGGATGCCTCAGTATTGAGGCATCCACTAATGAAAGAGTTAAGCTTTTTTAGACACCCAATCCCTTTCAGGAATCGGGTGTCTGACAGTGAGAGCAGAGCCGCATTTACTGCTCTCACTGACAGCTGGTATAGATCGGGAAATCCTGATGTATACCGGCTTTTTTTTTCTTCTAAGGCTGGGATCACACCTAGGCGTACCGAATACGCGCGTTTGCCAGCGCGTTTTTACTACGATTCGCGGTTAAAAAAAAGCGCGTTTCCGAGGGCTATCCGGCTGTATCCTAATGGACACGCGTGGCAAATACGCCCCAAAGAAGCTCCTGTACTTCTTTTGGCGTAGGGCGTTTTGCAGCGCGTTCCTACGCGCTGTAAAACGCCCAGGTGGGAACCATGCCCTTAGGCAATCATTGGTTTTCACATGTTGAGAGTTTTACAGCGCGTAGGAACGCGCTGTAAAACGCCCAGGTGTGAACCAGGCCTTAGATACATGTTTTGATTGCTGATACAATGTTGCAGGTTTTCTGATCATTGTTGGAACGATCAGAAAACCTTTAGTGACATCTGATCCTGAAATGCTGCAGGATCAGTGTCACTAAGGTTATTATTAGTTGTTCTTAAGTTTGAAGCAGCCTAATAATAACCAAAAAATTATTAATTTATCAAGCAGTAATAATGAGATTAATTGATGACTGCTTGATATAATTGAATAACTAAAATACAAATTTAAAAAAATAGTGAAAAGTGTAAAAAAAAACAAAAATATAGTGTAAAAAATACAAATAAATGTAACAAAAATCCTAGGAATGTGAGGTTTTTCCAAATAAAGGACAAATAAATAAATGTATTTTTTAAAATACTTTTAAAAAATATTTTATTTGACCTAAGTGAGGTGTTAGGTACACATAACGCATATACATATATAGCCCTATCTGTCCTCTAAAAAACAATCTATAATATGTGTGGGTACACTTTGTAAGAAAGTATATTACTGACGTGCAAGAATCACACATCAAAAATGTCAAAAGTGTGTCAGTCATTTACATACAGAAACTAAAAGCAAGCTCAGTCATGAAGGGGTTAAACACTCCATACAAAAAGATTACACTCAATATAACATGTCAGCATGAGCAGTATACAATATAGCAAAAAAAAAACAACAGAATCATATATAGACCAAATGGTACCAGGATACGTGCTTGTTCAGGGCTGCCTACATGCTAAAGAGAACCATGGTGTCTATTGTATACAACCAGTGGTGGTGGGGGTGCATTTTTCAGCGCAAGGCACTGTTTTCTTTTTGTTTTCCTTTTGTTTTTTAACTTTATAGAAATGTCAAAGTGACATCCTATCCATCTGTATACACTGCAGCGGAGCAAAGACCTTGTGAGCTCCAGTGCAGTGTGCAAAAATGCAGATATAGAGAAAGGTTACAACGTGTTCAAATCACATACAGTAGATATATCAGCACAAGTTTCCTCCAATGCATTAATGAGACACGTGTGTTGGAAAAGAGGACTTCACAAGGGGCTTTGCCTCCCAAACATTGCCATGTTAAGGTGCTCTCCTCTTCTGTACCACGCCGACATCATGTGATATTGAGTGTAATCTTTT